TGCAGACCATCAGCGCGAAACAGCCTAGGACGCTCCCAGAAAAGATTCCAGTTATTAACAAAGAGCAGTTTCTGTTCTTTACACCATGACAATAACCATTCATTTAAAGCAAAAAGCCTACTGAACTTTTCGTGTCCTCGTCGATACATGGGAATCGGTCCTGACACGATGATCGTCGTCGCGGGCGATGTGCGGCGCACCGTCTCGATCAGGCTCCTGAAGTCCCTCTTCAGCGTCTCCGTCTGCCGCAGCTTGGTGTCGTTAGCCCCCGCGTGAAGCACGACCTGGCATATTGTGTTGGTCATTATAGAAATAAAATTTATTAGTAATAATCCTGTCAAAGTGTTTCATAAATGCAGCTCAGAATGTCTCTGTTCATGAAAGTTCTCAGTAGTCTGTTCTTCCAGAAGAACCATGTTGAGGCTGAATATTCTGAAGTTTTCTGTTCATCTCTTTCTGTCTGAAGTTCCTGCTATTTTCTGTTTTGCCGTTATTTATCACCACAGAATGTCCTCTGTATGATAAGACTCAAACCGCTGTCATCAATCTGCGATAACACAAAAACACAGTCCAGTCTGCTCCTCATGAAAAACAAGTTTGTTTTAACTTTGTTGGAATTATTTTGACTCCATTGTAACCTCTGTAAAGACCATTGAAAGCATTTGGCTACTAGTTTACTGTAAGCTAACCCGCCCGCCATATCTTCATCATGTCACACTCACACACATCACATGGACACATGGACTAGTTGGTTGTTCATTTGAGTCAGTCATTATTTTCAGGTGTGTGTGTGTGTCTCATTATCATGTGTATTTCAATTCAGTTCTGTTACAGTCTAGTGGTCCAGTGTCGTCTCTCTTGGATCTGTTCATGTTGGATTTATTAACCGTTACCTATTTGCCTTCATCTTTGTGTGTGTTTATACATGTGTGACACATCATGAGGTTGACCCCCAACACTGCAAAACATATTTTCTTACGTAGAATTTTTTGCTTTGTTTTCCAGGAAAAAAAAAATCTAAATTTTTTAACTTTTTGTTTAAAACAAGGAAACGTATCTGTCAAAGGGGCAAGAAAAATAATCTCATGAGGTTGACCCCCAACACTGCAAAACATATTTTCTTACTTAGAATTTTTTGCTTTGTTTTCCAGGAAAAAAAAAATCTAAATTTTGTAACTTTTTGTTTAAAACAAGGAAACGTATCTGTCAAAGGGGCAAGAAAAATAATTTTGTTTTGCCTTTGAATTAAGATTATTTGTCTTGCCCCTTTGGCAGAATAATTTCTTGTTTTAAGCAAAAACTTATGTAACCATGGTTCCCTGAGTAGGGAACGAGACACTGCGTCCTCTAGGGCTCGCTATGGGGAACGGTATACCCACGCCGCAATGCTGAGGGAAATGCGGGCCAGAACCATGGCGAGCACTAAGTACCAACTTTACCATTTTCATGGTGAGTTGCCCCTGGGACGTCAGACGGCTGTCTGTGACTTTATCCCCTATGGCCAAAGGCCTAGGCTACATACCCAACTTACCTGTTAGGGTCAGACTCCTGGGCCCAGGGTAGAGCTCAAGGCTTGGAATCATAATGGAGTCCTTTAAGGGAAATGACCAAGAACCTAGTATCACACTAAGTCTTGGCCTGTCACACAGGGGCTACCACTTGCTCTTGCATAAGCTCTGAAAGGACTGTCTCAACAGACCTCTAGTGGCCACACCCTGTTAAAGTTGAGTGGAGTGGTGCTGGGTGAACGGGGCTTAAACCAGCTCAAGAAAGGGCACGAAGCAACCGCGTGAAGCCCTCACCATACAGTATTTTAGAAAAGAACGCAAAGAGCTATCGTGCGAACTTACCACAATGTGGATTTTAGAAAGTGCACAAAGCCTTCAC